TATTTACTAGAAAGGCAGAGACAGAGAGAGGTCTTCCACTTGCTGGTTCACTCCCCAAATGCCTACAACTGCTGGGGTCTGGGACAGGCTAAATGAAGCCAGGAGCGCTGAACTAAGAACTCAATTCAGATCTCCCATGTGGCTGACAGGGCAAGACCTAGCTGCTTGAGCCACCACCTCTGCCTCTTAGGATGCACATTAGTTGCAAGCTCACTCCAGAAGCCGAGCCAGACTCAAATCCAGAACCAGGCATTCTGAGGTGGGATGCTGGTGTCCCAGGAGTCACCATTGCACTACACACAAACACACAATGTATAAAGGGGTATACTATAAGTAGCAAAGGTCCTGCCTCTTCCCCTCCCATCCAGCTCATCCCTTAACTCTGCAAAGTTGCTTCCTAGGGAGGTATTTTGCTCCTTCCCCCCAACCTCCTTTGCTTGTTACAAGCAAATATTTTCCTCTGAACAACTTCTTTTGGAGGCGGGTTATTTAATGACACCCCAAGTGAACAGTCCTCTGTCTGCCATCACAGTCACATCATAACAAGCCTCATGAACATGAAGGAGATGTGATGGAGGGGAGTGATAAGACCTGTTGTCTGGCATAGAGATATCAACCAGGTTGTAGCAAGGCAGATGGAAGCTGAGAGCATGGGTTAGAAGCTACCCCATCACTACATTGTAATGAGAAAGGTCTTGGTAGCCCATGCTGGAGTAGAGTGAGTTCAGCTGCCAATTGTGACAGACATTCCAAAGGGTTGCCAAGAACTTGGGTTCTGGCACTTCACAGGAATGGTGATGGAATTCTAGGTTCCTGGCTTCTGCCTAAAACAGCCCCAGTGTTGTTGCATCCATTTGGAATAGTAAAGTAACAGATGGAAGATCTCTTTCTCCATCTCCCCCTCTCTGTCACTCTGCCTTTCAAATAAATAAACAAGTAAAACGACATTCACAGTATTTATGTATGTAATATCTCAGCGGATATGCCAATGCCTTCTATTGGTCTAGCTGTGTTCTAGATTTAAGTAAGGTCTAAGGCTTGTATGTTACATGTTTGACACTTGAAGAACATGAAGGCTCAGAGTTCGAAATGCTTTGGCCAAAGTCATATAGGGAGGTCACTGTTTTATTCTTGTTATACGTGACTGAGTCAATGATTTGACTCAGATGTTAGAAGTGGGGAATGTAATGGAGTGCAGCCAGTGATAGCCAGCACCCACGGACAGTGGGCAAATGCAATGTAGCTGTGTCCCCCACCCCTTGTCCTGAAGGTGGGTCCTAACAGCAATGGAATGTTAATTCCATCATCAGCCACTCTCCCCACCACCCACCACCACCACATAGGTATTTGCTCCTGCCCACCTGTGACTCACCTATCCTCTGAGAGGGGACGATATTGCATTGTTGTGTAACCACTCCCTTCACAAGCCCCTTTAAAGAGCCATGAAGCAGGGGATTGCTCTCTTTCTGGTCAGGTGCTTCCAGCTCTGGCACCTGGACTCTTGGCTGACCCAGGACATGTAATCCCCCAAGCATGATCCCTGTGTACTGCTTAGATGGGACAATGGATATAACAATATTTCTGGTTTGTGTACTATCAGGAGTTTCAGGAGAGGTGAGGCCTAACAGTGATGGAATGCGGGTAGAGAAGCCAGGGAATGGTGAATGTCTGCAGCTTTTTAAGTGTGTCAAAACTATTATTCGTTGCATGTCTCTTAGAATAACTTATATTGTTGGAGAAGCTGGGACATAGTTCTTTAGCTTAACAGATGGACTTAAGGGTAATGACCATTTGTTCCTCTTGGGATTATGTTTGGTTGCATTATGTTTGATTGGATTGCCATATGGACTGTGATTTGCTATTTCTAGTATGCTCTATTATCACCAAGCTTGGTTAATAAAGACTCCTCAATAAACCTTAGACATGTCTCGCTTGCACCCCGCAACAATTCTGAAATCTATACTTTAATAAAATATACTGTATCTGCGACACACAGTGACAGCCTCCCATCCTTTGGCTCACTCTCCAGATACAACAGCAGCGGCTGGGCCAGACTCAAGTCAGTCCAGGTCTCCTGCAGGTGGCTGGTAAGCCATCACCGCTGACTCCCAGGGTCGGCTATTGCAGCAGCTGGAATAGCAGCATGGCCAGGATTTTAACATACACACTAACTAGGCTATGGGACACAGCTTAAGAAGCCGCTTAGGAACAGCTAGGCAAATGCATGGCCTTAAAACCGATCTGGCACGGTAGCCTAGCAGCTAAAGTCCTCACCTTGCACGCGCCTGGATCCCATACGGGCGCCGGTTCCCATCCGCCTCCCTGTTTGTGGCCTGGGAAAGCAGTCGAGGACGGCCCAAAGCCGTGTGTGTGTGCGCGCGCGCGACGGCTCCTGCACTCGCGTGGGAAACCTGGAAGAAGCTCCTGGCTTCGGAGCTGAGCTGAGCACCGGCCATTGCGACTGCTTGGGGAGTGAATCAACGGACAGAAGATCTGTCTGTCTCTCCTCCTCTCTGTACATATATTTCCAACTTAAAAAAGGCATTTAAAACAACAAATAAAAACCCCGATCCTTTTAAAGCGCCTGGGTCCATTATCTCTCCAGGTCCCAGGTACCTCTGAGGTGAGCACCAGTGCTTCGTGCAAGGAGCTGCAAACTTGAGTTACTCCCCATCAACCCTAACTGCAACCGGAACCGCATCACCACGAACGCGCCGCGTGGGCAGGGAGACGACCCCTGACGTCATCACGCCGCGCGTCCGTCGCGACCCGCGTGCTCGGACAGCTGGCTCCGCAGATGGAGGGGAACTGGTCTTGCGGGTGTCCCGAGGCCGGCAGGGTCGAAACATGGCACTGCGCTTTTCACAGGCATTGCAGTTGCACTACTGTGGAGTCCAGCGATTGGGAGCTGCCGCGACGGAAGTCCGAAGAGGTAGGGTTTTCTCTTTTACCTCCAAAATGGCGTCCTTTCTCATTCTGGGATCCCCGCTCCAAGAAACAGCTCAAGCCCGTCTCATTTCCTTTCTTCCCTCCGTGTTAGCCTGGACACAGAGGCGGCGCGGGGCATACTGTGGTGTCGGAACTTGCCCAGTTGGAGGCTTTGGCTCCTGGGGCCGCTGCGTGTTTGATTTCCCCGCCCTTATCCAGTGCTTTTTTTTTTTTTTCTCTCTCCCCGCAGGTGGCATCAAATTTAAGCTTGCCGAAAAAACTGCCCACAGCAGCCTCGCCCTATTCAGAGATGGTACGGCGGTTACGTATGGCTTAGTTGGATTGGAACCCACCCAAGTCGCACTGAATGCGGAGCGCTTCCGAGATTGGGCAGTGGTGCTGGCAGACACGGCTGTCAGCAGTGGGAGACACTACTGGGAGGTGACCGTGGGGCGTTCCCAGCAGTTCCGTATAGGAGTGGCCGATGCCGACATGTCCCGCGATAGCTGCATCGGTATGGACGAGCGATCTTGGGTGTTCTCCTATGCGCAGCGCAAGTGGCACACCATGTGGGCCAACGAGAAAGCTCCCGTGGAGGGTATCGGGCAGCCAGACAAGGTGGGGCTGCTGCTGGACTGTGAGGCCCAGAAGCTCAGCCTGGTGGATGTGAGCCAGGTTTCCCTGATCTGCACCCTACAGACTGCCTTCCGGGGTCCTGTAGTGCCTGCGTTTGCCCTCTGGGATGGAGAGCTGCTGACCCACTCAGGGCTCGAGGTGCCCACAGGCCTCTAGTGTGTCCTTCACGGGAGTCTCCAGTGATGTACTCTGCTGGGGTCACATTTAGAATGGAGGCTTTTTACATTCTCTGGTTCCCACAGCTCTGCATGGAGTCCTCTGGGTAGCTCTCTATCGCCCTCTCTTCCCTTGCCTGGTGAAAGCTGGGCATACTGCCAGCACCCCTGCTGCCCTACCCAAACTACCGTCAGTTCCTAGACAGCCACAGGTATGTGTCCCCTGACTTGGCTTCTGTCAGTCTGTCTGCACCACCCATGTCCAGGCCAGTTTCAGACTGTCAGTCCTGAGTCTTTATCTTTCACCTTTGTTTGAATTTATTAATCATTGGGATAATTAGTCATTGGGATACCACTCCTTCCCTTTGTGGCCAGTTTATTCTTGGGCTCTACCTACTCTACCTGTGGTTGGAGGAGGGGTGGGCTCAGTGACTTGACCCATCCTCTGCAGCACAAACGGACTTTAAGCTTTATGGACTGTGTTGCAGGAGAGGACTAAAGCCGCCTGACTCCTCCATTGCCTCAGCACCACAGAGCCTCTGTCCTCCCAGAACAGCTGTCTTTGCCTGAGGTTCAGCCTCCTTAATCTACATCGCTGCCAGCCAGCCACAGCCATCACGGTCGTCGTGCCAGTTACAGCATGACCAAAGGGGAGGACTAGGGGACTGCTGCTAGGAATTGTTTAACTCTTGAGCTCTGTCTTCTACATAGCTGGGACCTCTGGAGAGAAAAGCTGAGGTCCTGGCCCTTTAGAAACCCAGTCTCCAGCCCCTAGCAGCAGAACACATGTCACCCAAAGCAGTTTCAGGCTGAGAGAAAGCTGGTGGGGCGGGCAAGCATGGATATGAAATATGTATTGTTTGGGCTCTGTATGACCCTTGATATTTTTTTATATGATGATGATGAAGCTGGGAAGAATGAATGGGATTACCCAAAATTCTAGTTTGCGTAATTAAAGTTTATTTGAGCACAAAATACTCTCTCTGTGTATAAAATTGCTGTCAACAGTAGCAGCAGCATGTCCTGATGGGGGTGGGGCAGCTGTGTCCAGGCTACTAAAGTTGGGCACATAGGCCCTCCTCTGTCTTACTCTCTTACTGTGTTCATGAGTACATGCGCCTGGAAACTGGAGCCCTCCACTGGCGTCTCTTGCGTGACAGTTTCTTGAGGAAGAGGGAACCTGGGTGGAGGTCTGAGATGGATTTGAGGGTGCCAAATGTGCTCTGCCATCAGGCTGTGTCTTAAAGAAGCCCCTGTCACTATGGACAGATCTAAGGTGTCCACTGAGACTGTTTTCTGTTCTCATCTGCAAAGAGGAATGGAGCTTTGTGATGCTCACAGAAAGCACTGGACTCTGACCAAGTGAATTCTCTGATGTTGCCGAAGCACGGTAGCTCTCCATAGCATTTTTGGGTGGTTGTTACAGGTTAAATGTATCAGGTAAAATGCTCATCACATTTTTGTGAAGCGGGGATGGTCCATGACCTGGACATCACACCATGCTCTCCAAGTTTTCTTTGGATAGATCCTCGGCTGCAGCCTCAGCCTGGGTTTCAGAGAGCACGTAGGAGTCCTGGTAATCTTGAAGCAGCTTGACCACCTCCAGGTGGTTGAACTGCACAGCATCGTCCAGGGGAATGTTGCCCCACCTGGGAGGAACAGTAATGACAATCAGACCAGGAGAGGCCCAGTAGCTGTTTGTACAGGGCCGCAGTGGATCAGCACCCATCCTCTCCGGCTTCTCGTCAGTCCAGTCCTACTCACCTGTCCTTGACAAAGGGATTCACTTTGCAAGCCTCGATCAGGAACTTAACCACTTCAGTGTGTCCTAAGAATACAAGCACAGGGGTAGAGCTGCTGAGCCTTCGGGTGCAGCCCCTCAGCTGGGAGGGGAAGAGCCTCGCCCAGGTTTTTCTGTGGAGCACCCAGTGTGACTGACTGCCCAGCAGGCATCAGGACCAACCGAGCGGCTGGCCCAGCTGGTAAAGGCCACACATCCAGAAAGGGTTTAGGATGTGTGTCTCCCTTTGAGGCTTTCAGATACCTTCAGCTGCAGCGACGTGCAGAGCTGTGCGTGAGTCGTAGTCTTTCTGCTCCATGTTCATGGCTGACAAGGCAAATCTGAGGGTTGTAGGAAGCAGCTGGAGTTACCCAGGTCAATCCAGAATCACTAGTTGTTTTTCGTGGAGTGGGGTCAGATGCATAGATCCCAGAAAAAGCAAAACAATTTATGGCAAGATCTGGGAGACTCTATAATCTGTCCTCTATACCCGGAAGAGATTTACTGTCACAACAGAGTGTCCAGTTCTCATTTGCTGATGTCAGCCGTTTCCAGCATGGTTCCTACCTCCCCTCACTGTTCCCAACACCAAGTTAGTAACTGAAGTGGCTATCATTAATCAAGTGCTTATTATATGACAAGCAGGCACTTTTAAAATATACATTAAGTAAATGTAATCTATGTTCATTTTGTCTCAGAAGGCCTGAGACCCAGATTTTCTTGGTATATATTTATTTGGTCACTGGAGAATTACCTTCGCAGAGCTGACACATCTCCACTATAGGCTGCAAATAAGAGGTTCACCACAGTCTTGTTCTGAAACATAAGTCATACCCACTGGACATTAATTCCGGCTTGGAGCTCACTCACCCTGTGACCTACCTCCCCACGGAGGCCAAGGGCGTTGTTGGAGGTTTGTGGGATGTTTTCTTCTGAACTGTCCTTAAACAGCCAGTCCCTTGGGCTGTTCCTTACCCGAACCTCTCCCCCTTCACGCCGCGGGTCCAGCTTCCGGGCACAGTGCCGCAGGTTGTCATAGTTGTGGAAATTGAAGAGAGACACCAGCTTCTAGAATTGGAAACCAAGACTATTGTTTACTTAGACCCTACACTCAGTACTCCTAAGACTTTGCTTCAGTAGCTCCCATGTACACTGACTGCTTGATTTATTTAGTTCCATGTGCCAAGCGGCAGTTTACCTGGCAGAAGTTGATGCCCCTGTGGCTGTTCCCAAGCTTGTCCAACGGAGGTGACAGACACATCATTCCCATGACATTGGGTACCACCAGGAGGATGGCGCCCGACACAGCTGATTTGGCTGGCAGGCCCACCTGGCAAATGGAATTGAAACTGAGGATGGGTTGGGGATGCCCCATATCTGGGAAGATAACACTAGTTAGCATTCCCAAGTGACTGGGCAAGACACTCGGCCTCAACTTCTGGCTTATTAATTATTTCCTTTCCTACTCCTGCCTCTCCCTTCACTTCCTCAATTCATCATTTCTGTTAGGAATTATTTATGAAAATACTAATAGCATGTTGTGTGATGCTACATGAGAACTGTCATTTAACTTATGTTCTGGTGGTGGGAGAGAAGCAACACACAGGGAAATCAATAGACAAAAATAACTTTGACAGACACTCTAAACCCAAATGGCAGGAACTCAGAACTCAGGTGGAGCAGGGCCCACCTGAGAGGACAGTAAGAAAAGCCACTCTTGGAGCCAGTGTTATGGCACCTGCAGTGCCAGCATCCTATGTGGGCACTGGTTTGAGTTCCAGCTGCTCTACTTCTGACCCAGCTTCCCAGGTCCTTGGACTCCTGCACCACAGAGGGGAGACCCAGATGGAATCAAAGGCTCCTGACTTCAGCTTGGCTCAGCCCCAGCCATTGTGCCCATTTGGGGAATTAATCACTAGATGGAAGCTTGCTCTCTGACTCTGCCTTCCAATTGATTGATTGGATGAATAGTTAACTGAATATTTCCTAAAAGGAGGGTAGGGTGGGGGAGAAAAGCCCTTCTTTATAAAGGGACACATAACTGAGGCCTGAACGGAAGAGGCAGTCACAGGATGTGTAATCCAGAGTGAGTCAGAAGCCCAGACATCCCAGTGTTTCTGTGTTTGAGGAATGTAATGTGTTCCACAGATTCCCCCAAGGGCAAGACCAAGCTTCCATTTCTGTTTTCAAAGACCCAGTATCCACTCTTCTGGGCACTGTTCTGGCATCGATGTGTGAGAAGGCCGGAGACACTCACGTGGAAGGCAAACTGGCCCGAGAAGTCATACATGCCACAGGAATGCATCAGGCTGAGGGTGTTGCGCACTGCTTCAGCGCTCAGCACGCTCTCGCCAGTAATGGGGCAGATCCCACCATTGGCCAGAGTGGCTGCCATGACACTGCCGGATTCACAAGTGACCTCCACGGAGCACAACTGTGAAGAGAAGGGAGAGGTGGGAGTGTGGTATGGACCCACACCTAGTGCTCCCAATGCTCTTGGCATCTAGCTCATTCATCAGGTTCCCCACGTGTGTCTGAAGGCCACCAGAACCACTAGAAAGAACATCCCTCTTGTGAGTAGATTAAGGAGGACAGGCAATCTGTCCTGCTTCTTTAGCCCTGAGCAGGGTGCTTACCTGGAAGTAGAGGTCAAGGGCGGCCATCATATCCACCCCTTTAGGAAAGCACTGCAAGAAGCAGAAGGAAGACAACCTTTCTCTTTAGCCCCTCACACTGGCTCAGCCCAGGTTCCCGGTTCTGAACACCCTCCACCAGCAAAGGGAGTCGTGGGACTATTTGCTACCAGCCGGTCCCAGTTACCTTCTTCTCCTTGAGATAATAGCCGATGGCATAATTCCGGTCCCCTGTCTCCTTCTCTGACTGAAACCTGAAGCAGAGAAGTGCTTGAAGTGCATGAAGCTTGTGGCAGCATGGGTTTGGGGAGAAGGGGAGACATCTCTGTCCCTGAGACAGGCGTCAACTTATTCTCTTTGTGCCTTCTGCTGGCAATATTAGAAGTAGAAGACACCCCTGACCTCAAGTCAACACCCAGCATGTAAAATGGCAAACAAGAGAAAAACACCGCCACCCTCACCTCAATGTGGCCTAGATGTTGGGTTTACAAAAGCTTGTTTTCAGCTTTTTGAAATCTTGGCCACTAAGGGCTTAGGTACAGATCATCACACTGCCTCACTCACCATACACAAGGAACAAATTATTCCACTAAGTGAACAAAGGTCAGTGAAGGAGCTGAGAGAAAGCAAGACAGCCAGATTTCCACTGAAATCTCTTGCTCCCAAACTCCTCTAGCCCCATATCCCCTACCACACGTGTGTGCAGCCAACCTGGACGGGGCCTTTCTTACGTGGCATTGCTGAAACCCATGAATTCATTCCCAGCCATTTTGTTTAGATACTGCAACACCTGGAAAAGAAGAAGGGGGCATGTGAAGTATTACTCGCCCAGGGAATCCCTTCCCCTATTAAACCCATCCCTAACTGACGCCCTCCTCCCAGCTTTGCCCAACAGGGCAGGGACATCAGGAGACTTTCCTCTCTGAGGCCAGCAGATTCCTGCACCTTTTGAGATGAGGTGTTTAAGTATGGGCAGGTGCACGTGTTGGTGAGGTCAGAGCCAAATACTGAGCTGGAGAGGAACGCATGCCATAGAGACAAGCAACAAGGGAACTTACAAAGTCAAACTTTTCCGCCTTGTTACAGTCCATCTGTGGGGAAAGAGAGCTGTCAGTACTGAAGCCTAGGAGGATGACAGAGGCAAGGTGAGGAAGACCTGGGGGTGAAGTATTAGACTAGTCTACTGTGAGTGTGTTGCATATTATAGTGACCTCCTGGAAAACAGAAACAAGCCCTTTTTGCCTCCATGTCTGTATATACTGATCTTCGAAACCAAACCAGGGCAGGCGTTTGGGCTAAAAGCTAAGACGCCAAGCTGGGATGACCACATTTCCTGTTGGAGTGCCTGGGTTCAAGTCCCAGCTCCACTTCTGATTCCAGCTTGCTAATGCATAGCCTGGTAGGCAGCAGACCATGGTTCAAGTCATTGCCACCTATGGGGGAGTCCTGGATTTGGTTCAGCCTGGCCTGGCCCTGGTTATTGTAGGCATTTAGGGGAGTAGTCAGAGGATGGCCAATCTCTATCAGTCTCTCTGCCTTTCAAATAAATAATACTAAGAAATCAAGCATTTAGTTTTTAATTATCAAGGGAGACACAGCTGTCCTCACCCCATCAATGAGTTTCACATAATTTTTACCTTCACCCCGGACTCCAAGTTTCATTTTTCTGATTTCAGTCCTGTTCCCTCCCTCTACACCTGATCTCTGTCCCTGTTTCCTTAGAATTCATGTTAGAGCCTTACTCTGTCCCTTCCCTGACTCCAGTACCCATTCTCAAGGCTGGATGTGGGGCAGAAATGGGATGATGATGTCTGCATATAATACTCACTTTCACTGATAACTGAAATAAAGCTGAAGGTTTTAGCTGAGAATCAAGTCTGGTAGGGACTGTTTAGGTGGAAATGGGATAAGGGATGAGGCAGGTGCCAGGATGAGCCAGGTGCAGATAGTGTAATCACAGAATGTATCACAGAATGAGGTGAGAGATGGCCCAGATGCATTGTTCCCTGTATGTGTCAACACCACAGGAACTCTGACACCTTGATTCCCTAAGGGGAGGGTTCTTAACACCACCTTCCCCAGGAGGGGCTCTGATTGGTTCCAGAGTGTTGCTGCCCATGCTGCCCCCGGGGTTCTTGCTCAAGCCCTGGGAGACCTACAGCTGATGGACCAGCCTGACACCCTTGCTCAAGGCCATCTCACAGTTCCAGGTGACGTGTATAACTGCCCTGGCCTGGCCATTCACCCTTCCTTTACCCAGAAAGAGCCAATCAGTGCCCAACAGTGCTGTCCTCCCCCTGTCTCTGGCATTTGGCCCATGGCCCTAGGCAGGGGTCAGGACCTGCTCACATCCCCAAGGGCTAGGGTGGGGGAGAGGTGAGGCATTCCCTTTTATTAACAAAACACATGGGGAACCCTGCTGTGCTTCCCTGTGTCTCCTGGGGGTCCTCAAAAGAATCAGGCTCCCAAGGGTGTTCCTAGAGAGCTGAATAGATAATAAGGGGACCTAGGGAAGCAAACCATTCAGAAGGGTAGGTGTGGCACTGACCTTGATCAGGGAACTGACGACAATGGCACCAGCATTGACCATGGGGTTGTGGGGGATTCCTGGAGAAACACAAACCACCCAGAGCCCATCAGCCACTCAACAAAGCCTCTTTTACAGCCTGCCCACCCTGGAGGTTAGACAAGAAAGATGAATTTGCTGAGGAGGAAGGAATGACATGGTTAATTGGGAAGACTAGAGAGACAACAATCAAGGCTGGCAAGCAGAAGGGGAGGCCATGAGTTTGGTCTGAGCCCTCAGTGGTGCTCACCTTCCTCATTGAGGGAGAGCTTGTTGTAGCGCAGGCCACTGGGCTCCTTGCCCACAAATTTGTGCACATAGTCGGTGCCCAGAGTGCTGATGGCGATGGCGTAGGTGAGGGGCTTCACACAGGACTGCAGGCAGAAGGGGATCTTTGTGTGGCCCACAGAGTGCCTAAAAGCAGACAGGCACTATCAAAGGGTTGGCCTTTGTTATAGACCTGTGCCCTGCCTCCCCTTCTGCTCACCCAGCATCTCACCGCTGACCATCCACGGTGCACAGGGAGACGCCCCACAGGTCTGGATTTGACTTGGCCAGCTGAGGGATGTAGGCTGCCACCTGGGTATGAAGCGGGGGTGGGGGTGGGGAAGGAAGACAGATGGCAATGCAGAAAAGACATGGAACGGAGATTCCTGGTCAGGAGAACCTTCTAAATAAAAGCTAGAATTCTGTCTCCTGCAGGTCATAGGGCTCTCTTGCCTGCCTGGTGCTCTCAGAAACAACCATGCCTTCAGTCCTAGAGGGTTCTATCTTTCTGTGACCCAAGTCCTACAAATGGCAGTAAAGCTCACGGAACATTAAAAAGAGAGAATTTTGGGCTCAACCTCACTTTGTTTCTTACACTGTCACCCTAGAAGTCTCTTGGAAGGCTCTACAGGCTATGCCAGTTATCTCCATCAAATCCTAGGGTTCCCTCACCTGCTCTAGGAATCATGTGTACAGGAACCCATGGAGCTATGCCTCTCATCTCTCCTTCACTGAAATGCCAGCCCCAGGAAATCTCTAAGAAGAAAGGGGGTACCTGGCCCAGAGCCCCTTCCCCTCCCTTAGTCCCCCGGCCCTCACTTTGCCTCCAGTGAGCGCTTTGGCATCCTCAAAGATACGATCCACATGGCCCGTGAACTCCTCAAAATCAGGAATGACAAACTTCTTTCGGAATGCCTGGGTCAGGAGCACAATGTTGCTGCTCACACACCTGGATCCCAGACACGATTGGATTAGGGAACCGGGGAGAGAGAGAGAGATGCAGCTGGGACTCCCTCTGGAGCCATGGAAGTGGGGAACAAAGAAGCTTGTGAGTGGTCATCGGGTTTGGGACAAACAGCCATGTGACTTGGCATGTCACCTTGTCTTCCTAAGGTTTTACTTTCCTCACTTCTGAAATGCGAGCTTCTAATAACATAGGAAGAAGCCCAAGACATGATGTCTTAGGACCAAAATAATCAAAAAACAGAACAACACGTAGTCTATTTCTGTCGTATCTTAAACATCCTAAGTCATATAGATATATTTACACATAATCATCTATGTCTGTAAATTCATAGTGTCTTATCCAGAAGACACCGGATAGTATTAACAACATTTACTCTGGAGAAAGGGCCTGGGATGGGGAAGTGAGGGAAGGGAGGACTACATACTTCTGTATTGTTAGAACTTCTATAAAGAACATTCACGTATTATATAATAAATAATAACATGAAGGTTTGAAGTATATGACCCCAAAGAGCCTTTCTGGCTTGGGATGTCTGTCCACAGAGTAGCTGTGAGAGTGGGTCACAACTCCTGTTTCTGGGGCTCTCACTTTTGGAAGAGATCTCGATCCAAGAGGCCACCACTGCTGGACTCCCGGACCATCCGGCGCATCTGGCTCATGCAGTCCCGGAGCCGGGGATCTGATGTCTGCAATCCAGTGGCCTTCAGTGCCTTCAGAGAAAAGAAGAGGCCCTGAAAGGTGGGCTCAGGGAATGCTCTAACCCTCATAATCTGTCCCAATGCATAATCAGCTCAACCCCAACAACAAAAAAAGGTAGAACCAACGGCTTTGGAGACTAAGGGAGAAGGGGATACAGCAGCATTGGAGGAGATTTCCTGCCACTTCTCATGCCACAGGGTTTTTAAATATTGTGACCCTGCAACAGAGAGGGGATCCACTCGTCTGCCTAGGTATCTGCCATCACCTCTCTGTACTCTCCATACTCACGCAGCCACCCCTTCCCTGCCCTGGGTGTGTCCTACCCATTTCTTCCCACTTTGCAGAGATCATAAGGAATGAGGGGTCTGAACAAGTAAAGGTCAACTTACAGTCGTGAACTTGTGGATAGGGATTCGTTCCTGTCCCTCGGCAATGGTGTAGAAGAGCAGATCACCCAGGCGGGACAGCATGCCACTCTCGGATGCATCACTGTTTGGGGGCACAGATGGAGGAGGAGGGCAGGAGCCTCAGAACTGCTTCCTGCTCCATCTCCTTGAACATGAGCTTGTTGGTCAGCAGATGTCCTCAGGCTGTGCCTGCTCCCTGAACTGATTTCTCCCGATATTTCCACCTTTCACATCTGTCTCATTCCTAATATTCAGACCATTATTTTAGCATCCTTCTAGATACCACCACATCTAGATCTCCCATAGGCACTGAAAACTCAAATGTCCAAATCTGAGTCACCTCACCTGCCTAGGATAACAGCATCATTACCTACCTGGGTGCCACACTGGAAATACAGGATCATTTTGATAGTTCCACACCTCACACCCATGGTCAGCTGGTTAATGACGCCAGGTGAATCGACCATGCTAAAACCCACGCTCCTCTAGTCTCCCCTTCCTTAAGCCAGCACGGTCTAGTGGAGAGGACCTGAGTTTATTGCTTAATAGCATATGGTCGTGGGTAGGTCACATAATATAACAGAACTGCTTCTTTCTCTGTAAAGTAAGGGAAAGAATATCTGCTTCACAAGGGTGATGCCAGACTTAGCTAAGATAATTCTGCAAAAAATGGACACAAAGTAGATGTGCAGTATACCATGCTTCTTTATCATCAATTCTTTGTTGTCTGCTACTTAACACTGACTATATTTGCTTGCCTTTCAATCTATCTTTCAAAATTCAATGTAATTTATCTATGTGGATACTATCATTAGAGGCTGGTGGTGTAGTATGGTGTGTTAAACTCCTGCCTGTAGCACTGGCATGTCAGTTCAGAGTCCCTGCTGTTCCACTTTTGATCCAGCTATTTGCTAATGGCCTGAGAAGGCAGCAGAAGATGGTCTGAGAGTTTGGGCCCCTGTACCCACATAGGAAACAAGAGTTCCAGCCAGGCTCTTGGCTCCAGCCTGGTCCAGTCTTAGCTGTTGTAGCCTTTTGGGGAATGAACTAGCAGATGGAAGATGTCTTTCTTCTCTGCTTCTTTCTGCGACTTTCAAATAATACTTTAAAAATTTTCAAATAAATTAAATGTTAAAGAAAAAATTCCACAAACATTGGTTAGGGTGGACATTTAGCCTTGTGGTTAAGAAAACATGTAGGGGGCCCAGTGCGGTGGCCTAGTAGCTAAAGTCCTCTGTATCGTTAGAGGATGACCCAAAGCCTTGGGATCCTGTACCCACGTGGGAGAAATTCCAGGCTCCTGGCTTCAGATCGGCTCAGCACCAGCCAGCCATTGCAGTCACTTGGGGAGCGAATCATTGGACAGAAGATCTTCCTCTCTGTGTCTCCTCCTCTCTATATATCCGGCTTTGCAATAAAAATAAATAAATCTTTAAAGAAGAAGAAGAAGAAGAAATGCCCATGACAAGAAAGAAGAACTTCAATGGCTGAAATGGCCAGACAGGAAGTTCAATGCAGGACTCCCAAGTGGATGTCAGAAACCCAATTACTTGAGCCATCGCTACTGTCCCACGCATTGGCAGGGAGGTAAAATCAAGTGTCAGAACTGGGACATGAACAAAGGTACCCTACCTATTTTCTTTCTTTCTTTCTTTTTTTTAAAGATTCATTTATTTTTATTGCAAAGTTGGATATACACAAAGGAGAGACAGAGAGGAAGGTCTTCTGTCTGATGATTCACTTCCCAAGTGACTGCAATGGCTGGTGCTGAGCCGATCCGATGTCAGGAGTCAGGAGCTTCTTCCGGGTCTCCCACACAGGTGCAGGTTCCCAAGGCTTTGGGCCGTCCTCGACTGCTTTCCCAGGCCACAAGCAGGGAGCTGGATGGGAAGTGGAGCTGCCAGGATTAGAACCAGCACCCATATGGGATCCTGGTGCGTTCACTGTGAGGATTTTAGCTGCTATGCCACTGTGCTGCCCCCCCCCCTTTTCTTTTTAAAGATTTATTTATTTTTCTTTGAAAGGTGCATATAGAGAGAGAAGGAGAGAAAGAGAGAGGAAGATCATCCATGTGTTGGTTCACTCCCCAAGCGGCCACAATGGCTTGAGCTGAGTTGATCCAAAGTCAAGAGCTAGGAGCCTCCTCCAGGTCTCTGACACATCCTCAACTGCTTTCCCAGGCCACAAGCAGGGAGCATAATGGGAACTGGAACACCCAGGATACAAACCGATGCTCATATGGGATCCAGGGGTGTGCAACGTAAGGGCTTTAACACTAGGCTACTGCACTAGGCCCACATATCTTTATTTTTAATTTTCACCTCTGAATTTCCTTTCTTTCAATTTTTTTCTTTTTAAATAATTATTTATTTGAGGAACCTGTGCTGTGGCATAACAAATTAAGCTGCTGCCTGCAGTGCCAGAATCCCACAAGGGCTCCTGTTTGAATTCTGGCTGCTCCACTTCCAGCCCAGCTCCCTGCTAATGCACCTGGGAAAGCAGCAGAGGATGGTGCATGTACTTGGGTTCCTGCACCCATATGGGAAATCTAGAAAAAGCTCCAAACTCCTGGCTTCAGCCTGGAACAGCTCTGGCTATTGTGGCCACTTGGGGAGTAAACCAGAGCACGGAAGATACTCATTTCCTCTTCTGTTTCTGTCTAACTCTGCCTTTCAAATAAAGACTTTAATATATATATATATATTTTAAAGAGACTTGCTTATTTGAAAGAGAGCCAGACAGGAAGAAAGACAGATCTTCCCTTTGTTTTGGTTTGCTTCCAAAATGCCCACAACAGCTAGGCCTAGGTCAGGCCAAAACCATGAACTCAGGACTCCTTCTGGGTTTCCCACACGGGTACAGGGATCCAAACATTTGAGTCACCATCTGCTGCTTTCTTAGGCACATTATCAGAAAGCTGGTTTGGAAATAGAGTAGCTGGGACTCGAACTGGCACTTGACACAAGAACCTGTACTCTGATACGGATGCAAGTACAAGTTGCAGTTTAGTTTGCTGTGCCTCAACACTGATCCCTAAAGCTCTTTTAAACCCACCTTTCCTATTCCCCACTCTGTCCCCACACTCCAGTTATAACAGATTGCAAACTGTTCCCCAAAAGGGTTCCTGGCCTTGGCTGACACTGTCACTTCTGCATGCAATCCTTTTCTTCATCTAGCACAGTCCTGCCCATCTTTCACGGTCCCTGCCAAATGTCACTTACCCTATAAAGGTTTCCCCAATCCTCTAAACTTTGCTTAAGCCATCTTGCTGTCAGAGGACTCTCTCTGCTTTACTGTTAGGTTTTTGTCTTCCTAGCACTTAACAGAATCCCCAATATACAGCAGGTCTACATTGACTTAGCGGATTGCATTGCTGGGAAGGTCTGTTTCCCATGGGTTCATAACACCTATAATTCTAGGTACTGGAGAGTTTCTGGTCTTTTTAAAAAAGGCTTATTTACTTATTTTGCAAAGTCAGATATATAGAGAGGAGCAGAGACAGAGAGGAAGATCTTCTGTCTGATGATTTACTCCCCAAGTAATCACAACGGCTGGAGCTGTGCCTATCTGAAGCCAGAATCCAGTACCTCCGGGTCTCCCATGCAGGTGCAGGGTCCCAAGGCTTAGGGCCATCCTCAACAGCTTTCCCAGGCTACAAGCAGGGAGCTGGATGGGAAGTGGGGCTGCCGGGGATTAGAACTGGCAGCCGTATGGGATCCCAGCACATTGAAGGCAAGGACTTTAGCCACTAGGATACCACACTGGGGAGTTTCTGGTCTTAAAGGGCCGTTCTATAAACATAACAGATTCAGAGGAGCTGTTTTATCTGCTCATTTCCTAATATGACAGCCAGTTGAGATTAAGACCCTTCAAAACCCTCTGCATCAACGATTAGAGTAACAGCAATTTATTCTGCAGGTATACTTGCATACCTCACAAAGTCACATAATTACTCACTGCATCCTTAGTAAGACTGGAAACAAACTGTGCATCAGCAGGGAACTGGTAAATGATGACATATTCATATAATTGACTATTCTGCAGAACAAAAGCAGCAGCTAGGGAGTGCTACATTAAGATGTAATTATCTCTAACATGGGATGTTAACTAAAAGAAGTACTTGGTAGCACAGTATACACAGTATGATACTATTTAATTTAGAAATACATGTGTTGGCTTACTCAGGCACCCAGTATTTAGGAAGCACAGACAATAAACAGAGAAGACTGACCCATTTCCCTGAAGGAAGATTGTTTTTAAACGTAATACCTCACATTTGTTAAAATGGCGAAACTATTAAAAATGTCAACGTGACACACACATAAATTCAATGACAGTAAAATCTGTTAACGGAAAAGATGGGGTACAGAAGACTGTTAATATAGGTTGCTGTTTTGTTCAATTCTCCTGAAGAGATCCTATTCCCCGTTCCCCTGGATGAGGAGTGAGGGGAATGAGATACAACTGGGGCTACATCTAGCTCAAGCACAGACGGCTGGGAAGGGGAAAAGGGTAAGTCCTAGCTCTCCTCCAACGCCCTCTCCCTTGGTGATTTGGGACCTACAGTAGAAGGGGGAGGAGGGAAGAGGATGATGGGAAAATTACCGCATAGTAGGGATGACTAATACAGTATGTTATCTATGTTATCTATTGGCCTGTTACCATTCAGGACAGGGACTCCAAGGATGGTGACGCGTGTCATTCGGGTCATCCTGATTAGAGTGTGCATGTTTGTGTGCGTCATCAGGTGTATGTCATTGACAGGGCAGATGGCCCACTTCCTGTTCCTGTACCACAGGGCAGGGGCTCCTCCTACAGTGACTAGCTGGCACTTTGGAAAGGGTTACATTTCATGCTCAATAGTGTCTGCGTCTGGGGTGAGGAGGAGGGTTTCTGGGGGATGGAGGAGAGAGAGGCTTTAGTGCCTAGGGCAAGGAAACCGTTTACATCAAGTTGCTCAAGCCGCACACACAACCATTCTGACAGGCTCTGATCTAGGGAATCTGCGTCTCAGCATTAGAAATGCTCTCCCCATCCATAACCGAGTTGTAAAACCATCCTTATTCTGCAGTTCTGTGCACCCCCAGGATACGCATGCATGCACCTGCGCACCACCAATACTTGCGCATCACCCATCACAATTGCAAAGGACACACAGACCCAACTATGGCCAGGACCCGAGGCAGGAGATGTTCCAGACCCATACATACATACATACACACACACACACACACACACACACACACACACACACACAAGCGCGCGCGCTCGTGCGTCCGAGGCTCCGAGAGCCGAGCGAGGGTGTGGGTGGGTGGGCATGCACACGGTTCCACTCTTAGACACGTGAATCACGCAACCCTCCAAACCCGCTGCACCCCAGTTGAATTACGCACCTTGGACAGGCATCATCCCGAGGACCGACCTGCCCAAACGCCCTCCCAGGCGCACGGCAATTAACGGCCCGAGCGCGGAGGACCCAAAGCCCCAAATCTAAAGGGAAAGGCATCGCAGGCTAGTGAACCAGGAGAGGTGGGGTGGGGAGGAGAGATGTACTCCTGGGGAAGAGGACTCGGGAGCTAGCCAGAAACGACAGTGAGAGTGGGAGCGAGCCTGTCCCCTTGCCCCTAGCCCCGCGAGCCTTACTGATCCTGGCGTTGCGGCTGGCAGCTGTGCGGCGGCTCCCTGCCATGCGCCGCGGCCTCACTGAAGTGGTGCCGGACGCCCCCGCCAAGGAGAGGGCTCCGGCTTAGGTGACCCCAGCCTCCCCGCCGGCACCGACTGCCGGTTTTGCTCAGCGCTTTCTGCAGAGCCCTCATGGAGCGCATGCCCCTAGCGTGCGGCTGATTCTGCCGGAGCGCCCAAAACGGTCTGAGCCGGGCGGGAGCGAGGGGCGGAGGAGGCGCGGGAGAGGCAGAGGTGCGAGAGGTCTGGGATGGAGTACGGGCCGGGCAGATGGGGAAGAAGGGCCCTGTGGGTGGGGTCGGAACAGGAGGAGGAGCCAGTCCCTATGAGCCGCGGCCAGGGCCAGGTGCACTCCACCTAGCCCCCGAGACGGTTGTGGGAGCACCGAGAATAAGGGCGAATAAGGGCGTGGGGGTCCCGTGTCCGAAAGCCCGTGGGATTAGGATGGACAACCCCTAGGCCCAATCATTGATGAAGTCAAGTCCTTGGGGGCGGGGAAAAGATGAAGCTACCCAATGAGAACAAAGCAGTGGGAAGCGTGCACAGTCCTGTGGATTCTTCCGCGCGCGCCGGCGCCTGATGCGGGCAGAACGTGCTAGGCGTGGAGGGCGGGAAAGGCGAGGTTGAGGACCGGTGGGGCCGCGGCGTTTTATGGAGGTGCCCAGCGCAGGTACAACGATGGAATTCTTGGATAGAGAGGCAGGTGCTGCCTTAAGAGACCCCTGCCTTGTGCTCCCTGTTCAGAAGTCGTTTAGTGAGCATCGACATTCGAAGGCCACAACCCGCCTTCAGGTGTATTCTGGTTACCGACGCCCTGGGGAGGCCGGGTGGTGAGTGAGGAGTCGGAGACACCCTCTTAGGAGCCCAACAGCGACAGCCAGGAAGGCCTTAAGGAGTCGAGGGTGGCGAAAGGTGACCCGGGGGATTAGGGACCCCGTGTTCTAGTTCTGCCTCTAGAGTTTATTAGGTGTTCATGTAGGGTTTTTTTTGTTTTTTTTTTTTTTTTGTAGAGTGAAGACCTAAAAACCGTAGCAGCTAGGTGCAAAAGCGTTGAATAAAGCCAGGTTTTCGTCATCAGCAGGAAGGACGGGGTGCATTGAAGGCCACGAAGCTAAGCACAGGAAGGGGTTTCGCAAGTGTTTCGTGCTTTGCAAAAGTGGGCGACCTTTCACCTTTTTTTTTTTTTTGAAAGATCTATTTATTTTTGTTGGAAAGTCACATTTACATAGAGAAGGAGAGACAGAAAGAAAGGTGTGCCATCCACTAGTTCAGTCCCCAAATGGCTCAACAGTGGGCGCTCAGCAAGAGCTGGGCTGATCCAAAGCCGGGAGCCAGGAACTTCTTTGGGTCTCTCAAGCAAGTGCAGGGTCCCAAGGCTTTGAGTCATGGACTGCGCTTCCAGCTTACAAGCAGGGAGCTGAAGGGGACACGAACAAAAGCCCATATAGAATGCTGACTGTGGACAGGGAAGTAACCAATTGAACTACTGCGCCCTCAGAAGCCCTTCAGCTTTAGAATTCAGTACCAGTCTCTGTATTTAGTGTGGACTGAATGCGGGCCAGCCACCAAGATACAGGCCACAGCACTCAAGAGCTGCCTACAAAGCAGGTGTCAGTAGTGACATCTTAAAGATGAGGCAACCCAGACACAGAAATCAGAACTAATGGCATGAGAGAACCCAGTGCCCGAGACTGACTGTGAGATTCTCCATTCCAGAAAATTCAACTACCCTGGGAGGAATGAGTCCTTCCCTGAAGTATTTTTACTTAGAAGCCGTAACTGGCTTTTGAGGCAGCTCTGGTTGGGTCACAAAAATACCCAATTTACTTTCTTTTCTTTTTTTTTTTTTAAACCACAAGGATAACCGTGGGAAAATTAAGTGTCAAAGCCATCCTCTGGTGTGTGTTCTGTGGCGAGACAGCTGTATGCTGGTTAGGGGCGGAGGGTTTATTTGGTTTGAAACCTGCTAGCATGACCTTTCTTTGTCTCTGTTTGTTTTTCCCTTCCCAGTTGTTCCCTATGTGTTCCATTCGTGGGCCGCTCTCTAATTCAGGGATCAAGCTGGCTGCCTCATGGGTGACTTTGTCCCAAAGGCAGAAGTTGGGTCTTTGCATGAATTCAGTCCTCTATGTTTAGTGGGCTGCTTTTTTTTTTTTTTAACTATTATTGATTACATTGCTTTATGTGACACAGCTTTATAGGCACTGGGATTCCTCCCTCCCCTCCCAGAGACCAGAGACGGGAGACCGTCTCTGGTCTGGAGGTAGAGCTGACAGAGTATCATCCCAATCGATTAAAAGCTCCGACATTACATCAGTAACAATTTACAATGTAATGGAATTAGTTGACATGGTATTGTGTAACCAGCATGTTAGAGAGAGAGAGAGAGAGAGAGAAAAGAGTGCAAGTTCTGAACCACATCCTATGACTTCCACATTGACATTACAATTATTAGTCTATATACAACTGGGTTCTATACACCTTAAAATGGCTATAGATTACTATTCAGCTGTCTCATGTCTATTTTAACTGTAGTATTTAGCAGTTTATAGCATTGAAGCATGATTTTGCAGAACCTGGCTGTTTTTTGGGTAGTCTAACTCTATAACTCTAACAAGACATATGTCAACAGTTTAGGTGAACAGTTTTAGGAGGGGTGTGTAGAGAAATCTTCAATACCCTAGTGAGGAGTAACTAATCTTTGTGTCCCACCCAGTGAGTTATAAGTGCATCCCCACTGTCGTTTCCTGTTTCTAAGCTTTCTTTGCTGTTCTCTATCTATTCTAGGGTTTTTTTTTTGTTGTTGTTTATTTGTTAGTTTGTTTTAGGGGGTTTTCTGGAGTGATCCTGATGGTCATTATGAGAGAGGGTGGGGACCCAAAGTCGGCACCAGGCAAGAACCAGAGAAAGCTCCTCCCCCTAGACCCGAAGGAAGTTTACTGTTTTGTTTCTGTGGACCGCTCAGTGCTCCTGGTTGTTGTTCCGCTGACCTTGGATCCTGCCAGGCAGGCTATGGGCCTCTTCCATCCCATGTGGGAGATCCAAATGGAGGTGGGTGACCTCAGAGTTCTCTGCCTCCGAAGGCACTCCAATTCCCCGTGGTCTCCTTGGCGGTTGGGATGTAGTCCTCGGAGCTCGTACTGATAGTCCTTGGTGAGGATCTAGGAGTCTTCAGGGTTGGGATACAAACCTCCTCCTGTCTGCCTGCTCCACTCTGGGGTCTCCCCCTGCTCTGTGCACATGACCTCCTGTTAAGAGGTTGTTGGGATTGCTCCTGATTCTAATAGGCTGCTTTAATCTTTGCTTTTCATAGGAATATTGTCATTTCTCTGAAGCTTTTTGAGTCTTTTTGAGAGAAAAATTCCGTATGTTAAGGAGTTTTGAAGTATTCCTCAGAAGTTATTTGCTTTTAAATTTCCTATCCTTCTTTAGATTCACTTTAGTTAACAATCCACACTAATTTCCTCACTCTTTTTTACTCTGCATGCTCCTGCTCACGGGAGCTGGTTGGGCAGTGAGGAAAACATATCCTACAAAAGACAGAAGGTTCTTTTTTGTATAGAGAACAAGGCCCAGCTGCACTCTGACCCTTGGACTGATTCAGCCTCCACAACAATATTGCTGCTTTTTCATGAGGATGGCTTGCAAGACTGATAGCACTGTGTAAAGTGTCAGAAATTTAAGAACAAATTCATCATCCCAGTGACTTAAGCTTAGCATCAGGTCCTTTTTGTTGTTGTTTTGAAAAGGACTCATCTAGTTGAATCTGTGTTACAGCATTAGCCAACTGTGACGTGGATTGCTGAAAGTGAGGGTTTTCATCCGTCAGAGAAAACCTTCCACATGTCTGTTATTGGTTTTCAGATCAGTCCCTGGCTGTGCCAGAGTTCAGGGGGAAGGGGGTGGGAAAGCGTGGCTTTAATGATTTTGAATCCTTGAGTGAGAAAAGTTAAATCCTGTGTGGGGGCAAAACTGGAAACTTGAAGTTTGTGTTCAGAGAATGTTTCTCGTGATTTAGAGGTCATCTGTTCTATAAAGAACTGGAATGATAATTAGTCAAAAGGCTCATGTTGTTCTCATTAACCTTTGCTAATGGGCTATTGGTACAGACTCCTTCCTGCCTTAGTTTTACATTTTTGTAAAATATAAACATACATGTATTTTTGAGCTCTAGCATAAATCAGCTTCCATTCATTTAATACATACTTTTTGTTTTCTTACAGTGTAACAAGCCCAGTGCTGAGGAATCCAGAAATTTGAAGACTACGTAAATACATTAACAAACCTTTTTCTAATTGTTGGGAGAAGAGAGAAAGCCAATGAATTGTTTACAAAAGATGCTGTAATGTAGGAATGTGTTGAAGAAAGCATAAAGAAGAAACAGCTAACCAGGCCAGGATGAGGGCAGCCGAAATAAGACAGGTAGGAGGCCTCAAGAAATGTTGGGTGACAAAAGCCAATTCTAATTTATTTGATTCTCAACAGGCCAAAGCCAGGGTCCCAGAACTCACTACAGGTCTTCTCTGTGGTTGCCAAGCATCCAGCTGCTCAAACTATCACCACCGCCTTCCAGGTGGACATTAGCAGGATGCTAGAATCAGGAGCAAAGCTGGGACTCAGACCCTCAGCAACCAGCAAACAGCTCTTTAAGGATGAGAGGTGTTTGAGAAAGAGGGCTCTGTGGGTACAGACTGTGAGAATAAGACTTAAGGGACCCTGTGTCTGAGTGCAGTGGAGACTACGTGGGAGAATTTGCATACCAGTAAAGTGTATGTGGAGCTGTTGGTTAACCTGATACTAGGTGTTCATGGAGTAAATAAAATTTCATGTGAGATTAAATGTATCTTGTGTATTCCAGTGTGCTTTTCTAAATCCTGTTTGATTTCACAATTCCAAAACCAAGTTTTGGCCCATAAACATCAGCCATATAGGAAACAGAGAGGGAGCAGGTGTTCAGCCTAGTGGTTGAGACACCTACATCCCACATCCAGGTACCCCCATACAAGCCACAGGAAGCAGGAGTGATGGCTCAAGTAATTGGCTTCCTTCTACCCATGTGGGAGACCTGGTTTGAGTTCAGACTCTCAGCCTTGGCCTAACCTGGTCCTGGCCTCATGGACTTTGAGGAGAGGCCAACAGAAGGAGATCATGCCCAAGTGCCACAAGCAGGGAGCTGGACAAGAAGTGGAGCAACCAGGATGCAAACCAGCACCCACACGAGATCCTGGCACATGCAAGATGAGGATTTAGCCACTAGGCCACCGTGCCAGACCCCTGTAAATCCTTTTTTTTTTTTTTTAATATATTTTT